CTTGAGAGAACCACCCTCGCCTGTGGCACCTCATGGCCAGGGTGAAGGAAAGCAAAAAGTAGAGAGAAAAAAGAGGCAGAGGTTGCTGTGGAGTTACCCCTGGGTTTCCTGGATTCTTTGCTCTTTCTGGTAAGAGTCCCACTCTTGAACACTGGAGAAATTCACTCAGGAACCCTTTCCTAATATCACTGGTCCTGTACCCTCTGCAGTCAATAGGACCAGGGTTGAGACCAGGCTGGCCTTGAACTCAGAGATCTACCTGCCTCTGCCTACATATCTATACCCAGCAATGAAGGTATATTTTTTTCCCTTTCAACACATAAACCAGAAAGTTGGTTTCCTTCATTCTCAAAACCAGTATCTTTATTTCTGTTTAACAAAGAAAAAATGTCCAAGGCATCAATGGCAGAGATTTTTTTTTTTTTTTTTTTTTTTTGCGGGCTTTGAACTGGAGAGCTTGTGGACTTGGACGATTGAGGCCAACAGGACTTGGGGTGTCACTCTGTGCTGGACCCCAGCCTGTCCTTTTAGACTTTATACATAAAACCGAATTCCAAAGACCTTTCGGTAATTTTCAAATAGCAAATTCACCTTTCAAGGGAAAGATTTGTAAGCTGGGAGAATTTGCTAAATACATTAAAAACAATTCCAAAAGAGCAGTTCTTACAAAGCCTCTGAGTGCAGCAGCCTCGGCATTCAGTTAAGCATGCGGTCCCCATAAGCAGCAAGGATGGAAGAGACAGCAGGGAGGAGTGATTTAGGCGTGTGGGCTCTGGTGTGTCTGTAGTACGACACACACACACACACACACACACACACACACACACAAGCCCTCAAGCTCTCAAATTTTATATTCGCTATGAATAATAAGGCAGGCAGAAATACCATAATGGAAATGCACTCGGGGTTTTGGAAAGGAAACTTCAGCTGCCACTCAAGACAGTTTATGACTGCTACTTCACCCCGAGAGTGACGGGAAAGTGAAGCATACTGCCACCACCAAGAGTCAACAGGACAGACACATTCCTGAGATAAATCCTGTTGGATCCTGAATCTACAACATCTGTCCGGTCAAGGGAAAACAAAAAGGGAAAAAGAGAAAAAGCAGAGGACCTTCATTTGCATCTCCCACTCTCCCAGCATGTCCCCACACAAAAGAAAACAACATTGTGGACGGCCCCTTCCCAACCAGGCTTTTATTTGAAACAACAAAATATGTTTTTTTTTTCTTAAAAAGAAACTCACTTTTAATTCAAGCTGTTTATAGTTAGCTATTGCTAAATATATGGCATTTATGTGCCTTAAATAAAAAGAAAAATTCTAAGAATTTGGAAAACTAACCAAGTTTAACACCCTGAGACTGGAAAAATACATTCCCAGGAGCGTGGTTCCAAAAATATCCTGTAGGGGGCACTAGAGAGGTATGGTTGAGGCTGACTTGGGAAATCACAGTCATTTCTGGTAAAAGTTGTTTGATGTAAGGAATGTCCCAGCCTGGTACAGTTGGCAAAAGTTTACTCTGGGGAATTTTGTGTGTGTGCGTGTGCGTGTGCGTGTGCGTGTGCGTGTGTGTGTGTGTGTGTGTGTGTGTGTGTGTGTGTGTGTGTGTGTGTTTGCTTGCTGTTGGGAGAATGTGGCAGAGGGGGAAGAGAAAAAAAAAAAAAGCTTGTCTGATGTCCCTTGCTTCCAAAAGGAAATATCCTTGACTTATCCTCACAAGTCATCTAGAAACAGATAGCAGCCTTGGAAAAGTTCCGGGTCTTGTTTTTGTTTTGTTTTGTTTTTTTCATTTACAGGGGGGGGGCCTGGCTGATGAAAACAAGTTATGAAATGACCTCTGTTTGTGTAACTGGCTGGATTGCATAATGCCAGAGCCCTGAAACCGTAACAGCCAAGGAGCAAGGCACAGCATCTATCTGGAGGTGTTATCCCAGGAAAGCCAGGAGGAAGAAAAGAATAACAACACAGCCTGCTCCAGGAGGGGGAGGTAGAGACAACTCTCCCGAGGAAAATGAAATCTCAGTGATTAGCCTTTGAGATTGGGATTATAGCTGCAACAGGAAATATTTTTCGTGTTTTTAGTTCCTGCCATATACACAAGCAGAGGTTAGCATAAAGAGCTGTCTGCCTCCCACCCCACAAGTCAGTGGAACTCAGTGCTAAGACCAGGCTTTAGGCAGCTAGATGGGAGTTAGGGGTGGGGTGGGGGCTGGGGGATGTTGGAGCTGGTTAACAGAAAATGTATGGGGGATACAGGACCCCACAAACAAAGAGACCAGGAAAAAAAAATCGTATCCACTTGCTCAAGGGAAAACCAGGAATATCTCACAATGATTGGTCCATCATAATGTCATAAAGGAAGAAGGCCCAGTCACTAACTGCCGGAAAAATTTCCCCATGAGGGAGGTTGGGAGAAAAGTTGATTACAGACTTTATCTGGTATGTAATAAAGTTACCTTGAGCCCAGATCGGGGTGGGGTGGTAGCACAGACTTGGAAAGTAACAAAAGCTGAGGCCTATCATTGGGACCGCAGAATTATTTTTTTTGTAGAAAGCCAGAGCAGGGAGGTAATTAACCCACCCACCCACACCCACCCCCGACTCCTCATCTCCCACCCACCACACCAGCAAGGAGTGGAAGGGACGGACCATGCTGAAACTTGGCCAGAGTGGCGGTACCTTGCCAATCCCTCTGGGTTGAGAGACTTCTTGCTCATGCTACTGAGCAGAATGGGCAGATGGACCTGAGAATCCCATGCATTGGTTGTTGCTAATTGCAAAACCCTCATGTGTTACAGCATGCTAGGAATTAGCCAACAGCTGCTTTTTGCTTCGGTAATGAGGCCCCATTCCACACGGCTGGACGGGGCGCTCTTCCTTCGGCCTCGCGTTGGTTTCCTGTCTGATTGGCTTCCAAAACAAGGAATTGCCTCCGCTCATGTCCTGGGCTCAGAGCCCTAGTGACACAGATTATTCAGCTGGGGCACTGATGTCCGGTCTGACTTCCCATCCAGGCCCCAGCGAAGCGCCAGGCAGGGAGATCATCGCACCAGCGTCAACGGTCACCGTCTCAGTCTCATTAGTGAAAGAAAAGAAAGAATGCAAAGCGCCTATGTGGACTGCGGGAGGAGAAGGATGTGGCGTGGGGGTTATTGAATTGGAAAGTGTCGGGGCGCAGGGGGGGGAAGGGGGGGGGACGCAGGTATAAATGACTGTAACCCATTGGTTAGAACCCATTCGATGTTTGGGTTCAATACAAATCACCCACTGGGCTGGGATGCAAACATAATCAATGACTTTTCAGATAAGATTTAAAACTCCTCACTTAGTAGTAAGGGTCCATTGACTGCACCCCCCCCCGCCCCCCTCCGCGCACAGACGAGGCTCTCTACAGTGAATGCTTAGCAGGATAGGAAGGGTTAAAGAGAAGACACAGAAAAGCCATTTGGAGGGGCTCACCGGACCCGGGGCATCACTTTGAGAGAGGTGCCCCTCTTTTTCAGATTACAAAGAAAGACATGTTTTTATTATACTTCCCAGCTCAGTCCATCTCTTCCTGGAAGCACACGCGCGCGCGTGCGTGCGCGCGAACACACACACACACACACACACACACACACACACACACTACAATGGTATTTTTTTAGACTTTTTTTTTCTCAAATAAGGCCATAGCCATGGCCTTTAGGAGAGCAACTCACGCTGCCGCCAACTTGCCCAGGAACTCCTAGGAACTCCGGTGGGCTTCGGGTGGCAGGGG